AAAAAAAAAAAATTTAGCTGCTTTATATTGAGGAGGGACAAACTCTGAGATACCATTTATGCCCCTGAGCTAACCACAGGGTCAAACTGAGATGTGGTTTCATACAAAATCGCTTCCTTTCCCAACCTCTTCCTCTTCCCTATCCTGCTTCTCCTATTTCCTTCTGGTTTCTCCTGGGACCATTTCTTTTTTCTTTTTTTTTTTTTTTGTGAGACAGAGTTTCACTCTGTCGCCCAGACTAGAATGCAGTGGCTTGATCTTGGCTCGTTGCAACCTCTGCCCCCTGATTTCAAGCGATTCTCCTGCCTCAGCCTCCCAAGTAGCTGGGATTACAGGTGCATGTCCCCATACCTGGCTAATTTTGTGTATTTTCAGTAGAGATGGGGTTTTGCCATGTTGGCCAGGCTGGTCTCAAACTCCTGACCTCAAGTGATCTGACTGCCTCGGTCTCCCAGAGCGCTGGGATTACAGGCGTGAGCCACCGTGCCCGGCCTATTTTTCTTATGAAAATATAGAACGCTTCACAAATTTGTATATCATCCTTGTGCAGAGGCCATGCTAATCGTGTCTGTACTGTTCCAGTTTCAGTATATGCACTGCCAAAGTGAGCACTGCCATTCATTTTTTTAAACTCAAATGATTATACCTCCTCCAGGAAGCCTTCCTTGAGAGCCACCCTCAGAATGATGCCCCAGAAGGGGCTTAAAACAGGTACTCAGCACTAACCCAGGCATAGTATTGTCCCTACATTTACCTTAGTGCTCTATAGTGACCATTCCATCTCCCTGGCCACGGGGTAGGTTCCTCAAAGGTAACTGGGATTACAGGCACACACCACCCCCTCACCAAAGGGCGTGTCTCGAACTCCTGACCATGTGTTCTGCTCACCTCGGCCTCCCAAAGTGCCGGGATTACAGGAGCGAGCCACCGAGCCCAGACTGCGAAAGCACTTTCTAAGGTGACCTGTACAGGTGCCAGCTGCTGCTGAGGAAGCCAGTAGGTGCTTCTATAGCCCAGCCCAGGGCACCTGCATTCCCCTGTGCCCATACTTTTCGATTTACCCTCCTTTCAGTGTGCCCTCCGTTGGAAAAATGCGCCTGGGCGGCACTGCAACTACCCCAAGGTGGTGGATTGTGCGAGCCTCCTCTCCCAGACTCCGCTCATTTAGGGCTCAGTCTGGTGGCGCTGCTGCCCGCCCCTCAGCCCTGCCTTCTTGCGGTGCCCTGCACCATGCTCCCCATCACTCCATCCCTCTCCTTTCCCCCTCTGGCCGGGAACCTGGGACACAGGGCTGTGAGAAACCCTTTGAAGAACAATGTCTCCAGAAAGCTCCTGTTTCTTACCCCCAGTTTCCTGAGGAAAACAGCCGCTTCCCCCTGGGGCTGACGTCTCCCATGGGGGTCTCTGGCCCCCAGGTTAAGTAGCCTTAATGAAGAACCTTGGGCCTGGGACTTCAAGGCTTCTGGCCCTCTCCTGGGGGCCTGGATTTTGGGTGAAGCTCCCTGAGGCAGGGGCTGCGCCTCCCCTGGACAGGGGCTGTTCTTTCCTCTGTGCAATGACATGGTCACTCTGGGATATGGTGCCGGGGCGTGTGGACACACTGGTCACGTGAGAGGCTGAGTATCTTTGGCCTAAGGTGCTCTCTGCTGCCCTTTCCCAAGGCACCTGGCTGTCAGGCTGTTCTCCTCCCTCTGGGCCGTGGAACCGTCTGCAGATCCTTTCTCCTCAGGAGGAGGAAAGCAGATGCTGGTCCTTTCCACGAAGCACCCAGACACCCTCTCCTCCCCCAGCACAGACAACCGGCTCTCTCCACGTTTCATTCTGTAGCGACTGCTGCCCTTTACCTCCTAGTTCAGGGAACACAGTGACCTTGACCCCACAACCCACTCCCCAGGATCAGGGGAGAGTGGCTGGGGGAGCAGGCTGTTGTCAGCTCCAAGCCCGGATGCTCTCTGGAGAGGACCTAGCCCACCCAGCAGAAGGGGTCAGCAAGGCAGGTGTGTCGGGTCCTGGCCTGGGACAGGGTTAGTGGCTCTGAGGCACCGGCTTGTGGGCAGGTGGGAATTCTGAAGTCACAGAACTCACCCGGAGGACCCCTCATTTCCCTTCAAAATGCTTTCTCTCTACCACATTTCAGTGGGATTTCAGGTATCCCTAGGGTCATGTTTTTGGGAAAATGAGTGATGTAACACCTTGATCATCAAGGCAGCAGCTGGCACCTGTACAGGTCACCTTAGAAAGTACTTTCCCAGGCCGAGCACAGTGGCTCACACCTGAATCCCAGCTCTTTGGGAGGCTGAGGCAGGCAGATCACCTGAGGTCAGGAGTTCGCCACCAGCCTGGCCAACATGGCGAAACCCTGTCTCTACTAAAAATACAAAAATTAGCTTGGCATGGTGGTGTGTGCCTGTAATCCTAGCTACTCGGGAGGCTGGGACAGGAGAATCGCTTGAACCTGGAAGGCAGAAGTTGCAGTGAGCCAAGATTATGCCGCTGTACTCCAGCCTGGGCAACAGAGGGAGACTCTGTGTCAGAAAAAAAAAAAAGTAAGAAAAAGAAAGTGCTTTCACATCAGAGCACTAGTTGTCAACTGCGTTATGAGGATCATTCGGAGGGCTTTTGAAATATACCAACGTCCAAGCCCTAAGAACCTCTGAGCGGGGTATGGGTGTTTTTTAAAGCTCCCCAGATGACCTGGATGTGCAGCATGAGAGCCCCACAAGGGCCTTGAAAGATAGACACTGTCATTATCCCCACTGTGCAGATGGGATGTGGGGGCTCAGAGAGGTGGAAAGACTTGGCCAAGGTCGGAGGGCAAGTGGAGGGCCGGGGCTGAGTCTCAGATGGAAGCAGGCAGGTGGCCCCCCGCTTTGTCACTGAGGATCTAGTCTTCCTGTGGGTCCAGGAGGCCTCAGGCCGGCCTGGGAACTCACTTCATTGGCTGGGAAGACATTTCTGCTCCCTCTTTCTCCAGGGCTGGGCTGTGGCTCCTCCAAGCCCCAGAGCACTGGTGGGTCCAGAACCTCCACATCCAGCCTCCGGTTCCTCCCACTGGAAAGACACGCCCTTTGGTGAGGGGGAGGAAGCATTTTTGAGGTGAAATGTTGTATCCCAGCCAGGAATGGAAAATATTAAAAGCCCATTGGCGCCAACAAGCTTCGTGCCAGGGCCAGAAAGTACGGAAAAGAGGAGGTGTGTCCCTGCAGTGCAGGGTGCAGGGGGTCAGCCAGGGGGCTGCCCACACCCTGTATCCCAGGCTGCCTCCATCTTCAGGGCTACAGCGAGCGTCCCCTGGCCAGAGGAAGGTCCTTAGGTGATGACCCCAAGAGAAAAGCTCCTTGGTATATGGGTTGGTTTATCTTACATTCCAGGGCGGGCTGTGGGCATAGGGGTGTGTAGCCATTGAGGGTATCTCACTGAGAGTGCGTGAAGCCAGACCAGCCCAGTCCACACACAGACTGTGAATATTCCGGGTGCTGGGATGCTGAGAGGAAGTGAGTCATGGTCCCTGTCCTCTGGAAGTTTCACTATAGAGATGGGGCAGGCAAAAACACCAATGTCAGTAGAATGTGACAAAATCTCTGCTGGAGGGGCATACAGGGACTGTGCAGGACAACAGGGACAGCTGGTTCAGCCCAAGACTGGGAGGAAGGGTTTCCAGAGCCGTGGTACCTGGGCTGAGTCTTGCTCCAAATAGATGTTTTGAGAACTTGCACAAAGCTGGTGTTTGGGCACACACTCTTGGGAGTTAACTCTGTGTTTGGAAAAAGAGACACAGAGACACAAACACATGGACTAATTTCCCCTCTGGGGGCTTCCTTTCCCACTGCCCGCATCACGTACACAGCAAGGTACAAACGTACGTACCAGGTACAAACAGACGTACAGGTACAAACACGTACGAGGTACAAACAGACGTACAGGTACAAACACGTACGAGGCACAAACAACAGACGTACGAGGTAGTGGTTAATGTCTCGGAACTGTTTTCCATCTGCCCCTCTCCCACTGCCCACCACAAACACAGTAGGTTACAGGCACACCTGTGGTCATAAACGACTACACACATAGGTACACATAGGTATCACATAGGTACAAAGTAGTGGAGAATGTACCAGAATTCTCAGTGAGAGAGCTGTTCTTGTGAGCCAAAGGCTTTAATAAGAACTAGGGGGCCCAGGTGCAGTGGCTCAAGCCTGTAATCCCAGCACTTTGGGAGGCCGAGGCAGGCGGATCATGAGGTCAAGAGATCAAGACCATCCTGGCCAACATGGTGAAACCCCACCTCTAGTAAAAATACAAAAAATTAGGCATGGTGGCACAAGCCTGTGGTCCTAGCTACTCGGGAGGCTGAGGCAGGAGAATCGCTTGAAACAGGAGGCGGAGGTTGCAGTGAGCCAAGATCGTGCCACTGCACTCCAGCCTGGGCAACAGCGTGAGAGTCCATCTCAAAAAAAAGAAAAAAATAAAACCTGAGCCTGAAGTGGAGGAGGCTGAGAAGCAGAGGAGGCTTCCTGGGATTGAGACAATCTTTGAGGTCTTTGGGGTCCACTGGCCATGGGACATTCAGGTTCAAAGCCATTTCACCTGAATTTCAAGGGGCAGAGAGGCTCCCAGTTGACATTATGCAGACCTTATCATAAGCTTTACTGCCCACCAAATCTCCTCATTTTACTGTGGAGGAAGCTGAAGTCCAGAGAGGGAATGTGAAATGCCTAAGGTCGCACTGCATTTGGGGATCAGAACGGGGCCCAGGCATATGCGGGCTGCGACACACCCCGTCAGGCTTGCATGCTCTCATGCAGCCACTCACAAAAACATGCACTCAGCTCTGTCCACAATATCCATTTTCCTCAGGATGACCTGGGTGAGTCGTCCTCTTTGTTCCCAGAGTGCGGACCCTCTGCATCTCTCTGGCGCCCTGGAGGGAAGACCCAGGTCCGCCAAATACAGAGGGCAACCAACTCTCCCTACAATCCTGAATGACAGGCCACTGTGATAAAACAGAAAGATCAGAGGACTGGAAATTAGACCTGGCCTGGGGTTGAGCCTGACTCAAATTCCTAAGCATCTCCAGAAGCCAGGACTTGGCGGAATTCTGGTATACCTTGCGCTGTGTGCTTTCCCCACTGATGATGATCAGCCTCAGGCGGAAATGAAAATCAAGAGCAGCTTTTGTTTTGTTTTAAATAGAGATGAGGTCTCACTGTGTTGCCCAGGCTGGTCTCAAACTCCTGGGCTTCAACGACACTCTCATGTTGGCCTCCCACAGTGCTGGGATTCCAGGCGTGAGCCACTGCCCCTGGCTTCAGCAGCCCCTTTGACGGGTGAAGCAGCAGAAAGGTTAAGGCAGCTGATACACTCCGGGGCATTTTCCCTCTTTGATGGAGGCTGGTTAATTGAGTGCAGAGGATTTAAAATCTATTCTGCCCAGGCCGAGCACAGTGGCTTAATCCTATAATCCCAGCACTTTGGAAGGCCGAGGTGGGTGGATCACTTGAGGTCAGGAGTTCAAGACCAGCCTGGCCAACATGGTGAAACCCCATCTATACTAAAAATACAAAGATTAGCCAGGGGTGGTGACACATGTCTATAATCCCAGCTACTC